CCTGAGGAGGGCCTTCTCTGCTGTGAGGGCGGCAGAGCAGTGGCACGGGCTGCCCAGAGAGGTGGGGGAGTCTCCCCCTCTGGAGCCATCCCAAACCCGCCTGGACGCCGTCCTGTGCCACTGCTGGAGGTGCCCCTGCTCTGGCGGGGGGTGGGATGGGGGAGCTCCAGAGGGACCTTCCCACCCCCACCACTCTGGGATGCTCTGATGTCGTTCGCTTGGCTCTATCGCAAAAGCGAGAGATGCCGACGGTGGGTTGTTCTTCCCTCCCTCTCTCGTGGACAGGATGCAGAGAATGCGATTCAGCAGATGGGCGGTCAGTGGCTCGGCGGAAGGCAAATCAGAACGAACTGGGCGACGAGAAAACCTCCGGCTCCAAAGAGTACATACGAATGTAGGTTCTCTGTTATTTGCCTCTTTGCAAACCTCCCGGTAAGGAGGGAGAGAAAAAGGCGAGCTGCAAAACGTGAAGGCTGTGGGAGGAGGGAAAGTGGGTACTGAAGGCAGAAGATATCTCAAACAGTTCAAAACCTCCCGAATTAAGCAGCTGCCGTAGCTACAGCAACTGTCTTACTGCTGCGGGGGGATTCTGTGGGCTTCTGCACGCTCCGGTGGGAAGTTTGCTGTCTCCCTATTCGTCTGGGATGACTCTGGCTTTTTAAGTTGGCTCCCTCGCTTTTCAAGCTGTCTGTTGTGAGACAGAGCGGGACCGTGTCTAAGAGAGCACTTCCGTTGGGGAGATTTTAAATTGGGTATATCAGACCTGCTCGATAGGTGTCTGCTCGACATCTCCTGCCGACCGGTATTAGAATTTCTCCGTAACGTGTGTCCGACCCGCTGAACCGGCTCTGTAAAATCTCTTTAAGCCAACGCCAAACAACTGTCTTACGACGACGTGGTCAACCAGTCCAGCCCCAGCAACTGCACCGTGTACTGCGGAGGCGTCACCTCAGGACTGACAGGTACGGTGGCTTCGAACCGCCGTCGCGTTGCGCGTCTCTGGATGACACCGCCGGCACCTCGTTTATTTATTTCTTTTTTTTTTTTTTTTTTGCCGCTCTCTTTCTTCCCGCTGCAGAACAGCTCATGCGCCAGACCTTCTCTCCCTTCGGGCAGATAATGGAAATTCGAGTCTTCCCAGATAAAGGCTACTCCTTTGTACGGTAGGCTGGCGTGCGGTTGGCATCTTGGTGAATTTAATAAGAATTAAGGGGTTTGGGACACTTTTGGTGTCAGTGGAGTGTGGGTGGGTGTGTGGCAAACGGGAGAGGATGCTCTACGGCAGCTCGCTCTGACGGCAGCCTGATGGGAGGAGTGAGTTATGGCTTGTGGTGCAGGAGTAAGAAAAACCCCCTTAACCCAGTCTGAACTGGCGCAGCGCCCTTCGTCCTAAGAGATCTCACTCTCTCCCTCTGGTGCAACTTCACGGTTTGAGAGTCTGAGAGTTTTGGAGTCTTTTCCAGAAGCATCCTCATCTCTTTGTTGACGAGGCTCCAAAAAAAAACGCCCGAAATAATTGTAAATTGACTCGCTGCGGAATTTCCCCGTGTGTTTAGGGAGCATTGGGACGCCGAGACAGCCAAAGCATCCGTGGCCAAGCGGTCCCTGCCATGGGCCGGGGGACAGGAGAACGTCTCCGCAGCGGGGCTGGTGTTCTGACAGCACCCGAACCGGTGCCGGGCTAGTGGGGACTAGCTAGGGGTTACTTTTGGCTGCTGCTCGCCGAGTGAGTTGTTGATATTGCCACCGTTTCTATTTCGACAGGTTTAATTCTCACGAAAGCGCCGCTCACGCCATCGTTTCCGTCAATGGAACGACTATAGAAGGACATGTGGTGAAGTGCTACTGGGGAAAGGAGACGCCGGACATGATCAGCCCGGTCCAGCAGGTGAGAATTTCTCTTCTGCTAAAGGTGTTGCTAATTAGTCTTTGCTAGAAAACCCGTCGCGTGGCTGTAAAAATCTGTGTGCGGGCCGGGGGGAGGCTCAGCGTAGCGTATGTCGCCTACGGTAACGCCTTTATTTCAGCACAGCCTCTTTCTCTGAAGGACGATCAAAGATTTTCAATCCCTTGGAATGTAAAAAAAACCCCTCTTATTACGAAAAACGCTTGATGTAAAATTCTGGAGGAACTTAACGTCCGCATGGCCGTTTCGGCGTGATTTTAGCGGGCGGCCTCGTCTGTCGTCGTCCCCCCCTCACATACGGATTGGGCAGGCGGGGTGTATCGCCAGTTGACAAAAATCACCGCTTTCTCAGGCGATTTTCGGCTCTGGGGCGTAACTCCGGGATGTTTTCCTGTTGCAGAACCAGATCGGCTATCCGCCGGCGTACGGGCAGTGGGGCCAGTGGTACGGCAACGCCCAGATCGGCCAGTACGTGCCCAACGGCTGGCAGGTCCCCGCCTACGGCATGTACGGGCAAGCGTGGAATCAGCAGGGATTTAAGTGAGTATTTGGGCTTTTTATTCCCCATTTTTTTTCCCCAGGGAGGGAGGGTGACAATCCCAGCGTAAAAGCTGCTGGTTTGGATCCGGTAGTTTGTTGTGCTTTTATGGGGGTGGCCGGCAGGATCGGGTCTTACCTGGGAGTTTTATGGTCCCGGTGGAATTGTCTCGTCCCTTCGTACAGGGATGACAGTAGGATCGAAGTGCTGCTCTGTTCTGAGGCTCTTGTCACCTTTATCGAAGGAGCAGGGGTGTTAAATCGGTGAAATGAGCCTTTTTAAGGAAAAGCTCGTGGTAGGAGGATACGATCTCTTG